GCACTTATAAACCTAAAAATAAAATTAGTCTTTGTTTTTTAAAAAAAGAAATACTTAATAGATTGATAAGGGGTTATGTGATCACCCATGGTTTATTTATCATAATATTGCTTATAATATGCTAGGAGAAATAAAAATCAGATGTTCAGTCTGTGATAGTCCTAAGCATGTAGACTCAGTGCATTTCTCCTATTTTAGTCTAGAGTTTAAATTTTTCCCACATGATTCATAATCCTCTACACTAAGTGGTAATTTCATGCTACACCCCAAGTGTTCTCATTTTGTGGGCTCAAAATCTATAGTATATCCTCATTAGCATATTTAGTGCTAAACATTGTCCTTATGTAAAGCAGGCTGTTTCCATAATCTAATCCAGTTGGTGTAATTCTGAAAATTTAGCACATCCTATTATAATCAACACAATTTTAAAAGAGTTTCCTCAGTTGATGGTTAATCTTGTTAACTTGTTGAGATTTAGAATTACCTTGGAGTCAAATCTCTGGGCATTTCTGTGAAGGATTTTCTAAACTCAGTTAACTGTAGTAGGGAGCCCATCATAACATCCAGCTCAAATAAAAAGGAGAAAGGGGGTGATCATTGGCTTTTGTCTCTTGTTGCTTCCTGACTGTGGTTGCAACAAGACTAACTGCTTCAAGCCATAATAGACTGTGCCCTGGAACCGTGAGGCAAAATAAACTCTGCCCGTTAAAAAGCAACCTTTGTTAGGGTATTTCTGTCATAATGACAAGACAACTAATACAGAAAATTGGGACCAGGAGTGGGGTTGTGGCTGTCACAGCCTGGGTATGTGGTTCTTAGGCCTTTGGAATGGATTTGTGGGAGAAATGTGTGAGTTTGGGACTCTGGGTTAGAAAGACTCTTTGATGAGGTGAAAAGAGATTAATGGGCCATTCTGGAAGGAGTTCAGAAAGACATGGATAGTGGAGGTCTGGCTTCTGAGGTACCAGAGGAGGATGGGAGCTCTGGGAAACAGGGTAGAAGGCGTTCACGTTATGTTCAGGCAGAGAATCAAGCTGCATTCTGCACATGTCCCAAGGAAGCTAAGCGAAGTGGAATATAAAAATAATTGACTAGTCAGGCATGGTGAAGTACACCTTTAATCTTAGCACTCAGGAAGCAAAGGCAGGTGCATCTCTAGGAGTTCAAGGCCTTCCTGGTCTACACAGAGTTCTAGTTCAGTCAGGGCAGCAGAGTGAGACCCTGTCTCAAAACAGTAACAACTCCTCCCTGACCCCCAAACCACCAGCAGCACCACCAAAGTAAAGCAAACAAAGCAAACAAACAAACAAAAAAATTGACTAATGTGTTTGGCAGAGGAAATTTCAAGGTAGGCTAGCATCAGCCTGTGCATAGTTTTTGTTCATCACATTTATCCTGGTCTACAGTAACAAAGAGCAAAATGTGGGCAGAATTTGTATTTAATGTATAGTTTGTTAAAAAAAAAAAAGATTGGGCAAATTTGAGTTGCAGTCAAGGCATACACTAAAAACAAGGCTTAGTTGTTCAAGAGAAATCATCTGCTCTTCACTGGGACAATAGAATAATGAACGAGGGCAAGACCCCACATGTCAAAGGTGCCAGCTTTTTTTGGAAAGCAAAAATTCATTTGCAAGTGGAGAGCCCAAGATGAGAATGCCACTGGAGGAGGTCCTTGCTTCTGAAGCACCTGCCTAAGGAAGCCCCGTGGATAGCAAGTATGGGCTGCTCTAGCTGTGGTCCAAGGACGGAAGTCTCCATCCTGAGCTGACAGGAGAACTTTGAAGTGCCATCTAATCTGGCACTAGTTGGGTAGGCATGTAAGCTACAAGACTGAAGAGAGATCATGGAGTCTTATACTGTAGTTTCAGAGAGCAACTGTGTGGTGATATTGTGTTCCCCAAAATATTGTGCACCCTAATAAACTTATCTGGGGTCAGAGAACAGAACAGCCACTAGATATGGAGGCCAGAAAATGGTAGCACATGCTTTTAATCCTAGCATTCCAGAGGCAGAGATCTGTCTGGATCTCTGTAAGTTCAAGGCCACACTGGAAACAGCCAGGCGTGGTAACAAGAGTCTTTAATCCCAGGAAGTGATGGCAGGAGGCAGAAAGGTATAAAAGGCGTGAGGACCAGGAACTAGCCGGTTAAGCTTTTAGGCTTTTAAGCAGCACAGATGAGCTGAGAGGCTTCCAGTCTGAGGAAACAGGATCAGCTGAGGAATTGGCAAGGATTCATGCTACACAACTGAGCCTAGGCAATATTGCAGGGTTGGAGTCCCTGAGATGCTGTTGTATGAAGCTATGGAAGCCAAGTCCAAGTTGCAGCAGAGACCCCCAGGATGCTGGAGATGCCAGAACCATGGGATGTCTGCCAAAGAGGCATGCATGGAGTGGAGCTGACTTGAGAGTGGCTCGGAGGCTGGAGAGGAGGCTAAGTGGTTAACAGCTCTTGCTTCTCTTACAGAGGACCTGGGTTCAGTTCCCAGCACCTCTGTGACAATTCACAGCTGTCTGTAACTCCAGTGGAACTCCATTTCCAGAGGATCCAATGCCTTCTGGTCTTTGTGGGCACTACATGCATATATGGGGTACACTTCCATATAGCAGGCAAAACATTCATACACAAAATTAAGAAATAAAACTTCCTTTTAAAGAGGTTCTTTGTATTCTGCAGGCATCAGAGCAGGAGGGACAGGACTACCTAGGCCTTTTAGAGCCCAGATGATTTCATCATGAGCTCTGGAGTTGTGAAATATGATGTTTGCTCTGCTGGGGTTTGGTCTGCTTGGGTCTGATCTTTCCTTATTTCTCCCTTTTGGAATGAGAAGGTTCACTCTGTGCCATCATAGGTTGGACCTACATAATGAAGTTTTTGTTTTACAGGGGCTCACAGTTAAAAGATTGCCTTATCCTCAGAAAGGACACTTTGGAATGGTATTGGGACTGTCAAAGATTACGGGGGCTTTCAAAGTTGAACTAAATGCATCTACGTTGTGGGATGGCCGTGATCCTATGGAAACTCAAGGCAGAAGGTAATTATTTTAAAGCAAAACTGTTTGAGTGTCAAGGGGACAAAGGGGAAGAGTTGTGAAGATTAATTTTGTCAACCGGATGGAATTTAGAATCACCTTGGAGACAAATCTTTGGACATGCCTGCGAGTGATGTTCTAGATTAAGTTAACTAATGTGGGAAAAACAACACTAACTTCCCAACCAGATACAAATGAAAAAGAGAGCTCAGCTCTAGCCTTCATCTCTCCTTGCTTCCTGTCTGCGGATGCAATCTGCCTGCCTGCCTGCCTTGGGTTCTGCTGCCTTAAATCCCCTGCCTCGGGTTCTGCTGCCTTAAATCCCCTGCCTTGGGTTTGGCTGACACGATGGGCTATGAAACTGTGAGCTAAAATGAGCCCTCTCTTAAGTTGCTCATGCAAGGATATTGTCACAGCCCAGGACAAGTATCTAATACACCAAGAGAGCACACCACAAAATCAGAAGCATACATGGCATGCCTTAAACTTATATTCGCTAACCATTACCCCACTAGTCAATACTACCCAGAGTTCCCTCACATGCTACTCGGGCCCTCCCAAATCTACCTCCACTCCTTTCATTCTTCACAAATATTCCATATTCTGTAGCTGGCTGTATTTGCTTGGACCCATAAGTGTTTCTGTGTAGGGTAAAATAATATCTATCCTACCATTTTACCTTTGGATTATACCTTAATGTTAATAGCAGGGTTTTGCTTAAGATAAACAATAAGCTTCTTTTCAGTTTTAAAATTCTTTGATGTCATGTATCATAGCCAAATTTTCCCAGAATATATGCTAGAAAATTAGTTTAAGTAAAACGAAATTGAGTCAGTGCCAAAAGCAATTCTAAGTAAAATTCTGAAATTAGCAACACATACATCTCTCTCTCTCTCTCTCTCTCTCTCTCTCTCTCTCTCACACACACACACACACACACACACACACACACACACACACACACACACACACAC